CGGCCACCGCCACCGCCACCGGCCCCACAGCCCCGGGAACTGCGAAGCCCCATCCCAGCAACTGCCTGGGGACAGACACGGGTGGGAGAGAGTGTTTCCCCACCAGTATTGTCCACGGGAACACCACACACACCCACACACCCCTTCCCAGAGTGCTGGCACCTCTCCGGGTGTCTTATTCCGCAATTCATGGAATCACAGAACGGTTTGGGTTGGAAGGGACCTGAAAGACCATCCAGTTCCATCCCCCTGCCCTGGGCAGGGACACCTCCCACCAACCCAGGTTGCTCCAAGCCCCGTCCAACCTCCCCTTAAACACCTCCAGGGATTCCCCTTTTGCCAGGCTGGTCTCACCTGAGTTCATCCTGAGGGAAAAGTGTTCCCATGGGCACCCGGCCCCGCAGAGGCTGCGGCATGGTGTCAGCCAGCCCTGGCGCTGCCGGCAACTGCGGCACCCTCATTCCCCGCCGGTGTCTCGGCGTTAACACTGAGGACGGGGAATCCCAGGAGAGAGTCACCGGTGCTGCAGCGCCAGGTTCCTCCCAAGGAGATAGGAGTAGAGCCAACGGTGCCGCAACACTGGAGGGTTTTCAAACCAGCTAGGGTTTGGCACGCCTGGCGCTCCCATGCGAACCCAAATTGGTAGTGCGGGGGGCAAATGAGCCAAACTTCCATCATCTTGGCCAGAGAGGGAACTCCAGGCTCCCCATGCCCTGCGTTGCCTTGGCACGAGAAAGGGATGCTTCGCCGGAGCGTCACGCACAAGGAGCGCGGGGAGCAATGCCTCGCAAGCCGCATGTCGAAACCTGCTCATAAAAAACTGCCCACAGAGCAGTTTTTCAATACCCAGTGCGCCGATAGAAACAAGTCCCTTCAGGATCGGAGGAACTAGGGATCCCCGCTCTCCTGCAGGTTTGCATCTGGCCTTCACTCGCTCGATGGCGGTGAGGCGTATAAGCGAGTCCTGCCCTGGCTCGGCTGCATTCTCACGCCGCAGCTGGCCACCGGCCTGTCCTTGCTTAGCCTCTCTGAGGATTTTTATCATGCTCGTGGTTTACATCCCACATTACTCTGCTCGCCAGCTCCGCACCGGCTCACGCTTGTTCAATATACCCCCGCTGCCATCCTGCCAGCGGCTCATCTGGAAGCAGATGGCCTTTCTGCAGAGCTAGTGCGGATGGGTTTCTTCCAGCACTTCTCAAGTGGTCCTGGAGGCCAGGACCAGCTTTTAATAAAGTTTCTGAGCAGCACGTGGTGCCATGGAGCCCCAGCCGGTGCCAGGAGTCATGGTTTAAATAACACACAATAAATATCAGAATAGCCTGAGCTGCGGAGAACTCCTCAGACACCGGTTTCTAAGGATGACCTAATACATTTCTTGGACTCGCTAGTCCTTCTCATTACTCTTCTGCATTTTTTCTCCCTGCTATTTTTCTTCCCTCCCAATGAAATGTTTTTGCTTTTCTTCTTTTTTTTTTTTTTTCTTTTTGCTGCTTGGGTCTCTGAAATATGCAGCCATGGCAACAGGCTGGAGGAGCGAATTCCCCGGGTCCGCCCGCATGTCCTTGGGGTCTGGCGGGGAGCAAAGGGGGGTGAATTCCAGCCATTCCCTCTTGCCGGGAGCAGTGTTTAGTAAACACACGCGAGCACACACATGCTAACTCCTGCCACATGCTAACCCCTGCCCAGCTCTGCCACGCACCCACCAGCATGCTGAAGGCTTTCTGTGGGCTTAGCGCATCTCCCGTCCCCCCCCGGACCAAGCGGCACCCCCTTCTCCCCAGCACTGTTCCGGGCTGGCATTTTTTGGGAGCAGCATCGGGGAGGAATGTAAGCCCCTGGCGTCGGGACAGGAGCTGACATTCCTGGCCCTGGGCTGAAGAATGTGGACACAGTGTCCGCTCCAAATTCCAGCACTGGAGTTCATTCACCCCGCGCCCCGGGCAAGGGGGATGCCGGGATGGGAGCGGGGCTTGGCTCTCGGTGACAACGCTGCTGTAACCTGGAGGGGGGGCAGGGATGGCTGATGCGCTCCCCAGTCACCTCCAGGCGCTCGAAGGGTCTCCCTGTACGGGCCACCTCTTGCTAAAGCACCTGGGGAATTGCTTCTCCTTGTTTTGGTGGCCTCTGCCCCTCAGTCTGCAGATACGTCAGCCTTTTCTTGGAAGAGTCGGGAGTGCGGGAGGTGCACTGGGGGCTGCCGGATGGGCTGGTTTCAACGCGGCAGGCGGCTCGAAATCTGGGCAAAGCCATCCTTGGCAGCGGTGATGCCACGGCCTGGCAACAAAGCAGGGACCACCGTTTTAGGAACCCAGCACCCGGCTGTGGTGGGTGCTGCCTAAAGACCTGGAAAAGGCAGCGCAGGCTGAAGGTCTCATGAGGTTTCTCTTAAGCAAAGCTGACCCGCTCTGGCATCTGTATTGTGGCAGGAACCAGAATTGAATGTGAACCCATCACTGGCTTTCAGCTCATCTTCCCCAGGCAAACACGGGCGTCATAATTCCCTCTGTCCCCCCGGCACACCCGGGCGAAGGCCAGCAAGGGCTATTTATACTCTTTATAATCTTACACACCGCTTGGGTTACTGCGTGGCATCCAGTTTGTTTGGAGCGGGGTCTCACGGATCAGAATAGTTTCACATTAATACACTTCTCACCAGTTCATAGGTTTGAAAACGGATACGGCCGAGTTGCTCACCATTTACTTACGCTGGATTGTACGGGGCTTTGTGGCTTAAAATAGCAAGATGTCAGCCATAACCATGATACAACACGTCTCCGGCAGAAAGGTCCCCAGTGATTCACCACCCTGTTACATCAGCATTACGACACCAGGGAAATGGTGCTCATTCCACCGATTTTCAAGGATGACGAAGCCCCGAGATTGCAGAGAAGCTGAGAAAGTTGGGGAGTTTCGAAAGAATTGTGCAGAATTCTCATTTCCAAACAACACCGGAGAACAAGAGGAGGGTTATTGCCAGCCCCTGCGATGCTGGTTCCAGACCAGATGGATACAATGAAAGAAGGTATCACAAAATCCACCTCAGTTGCGTGCCTGGGGCGGGGGTGAGCGCGACGACGCTATTCCAACCCGGCTATGCCGGGGATGTGGCAAACGCTGAGCCGGCGCTCCCCGCAGGCTCAGCGGCGCAGGCTCCCACCCCTCCCCTATACCTACCCCAACCTCTGGAAGGTCTCCAGGTGTTGCACAAAAGCAAAGCGCCCGCTGTTTGTTGCAGAACCTGAAGGAAGAGGCAACACTTGCCTCAGCACGTTGGAGCCAGCCAAGACTTTCTTGTCATGCTCTTAAAGTCAAGCTTGGGGAGCATCCAGGGTTACCCAGCAAATTCTTGGCTGCAGGAGGAAAGACCGCCTGTCCCTGAGCCCTTGACATGTCCATGGGTAGCACTATCAAGCCCACATCTTTTGGTTGTCACAGCCCACTGTTGAACCACAGGACTTCACCCATGTCCTTGGCCACCTAGGAGAGGAGGACAGCAGAAGACACCCATTGCTCCAAAGTGACATCTTCAAGGGAAGGAAAAGCCCAGAAGGCAGCCCCAACCACAAAGGCCATCTGCTCCTGTTCTTCCAGCAAAGGAAGAAACTGAGCTCGTTTTGGACCAAGTGGGAACAGTCTCCAAACAGAGATGCTCAGGAATGTTCTGGCTTTCAAGGATTAAGCCTCGTGTTTGTTTTCAGGTGGTAGAGCTCACCCCGGGCACGCTGCTGATTTGTCATCCTGGGATTTCGTTCCCCACCCTCCCGGCGTGCGTGTGAGAGAGATCTGAGAGTCGGGGAGATGCACGCAGCTGCGCTTTGGTTGTGCGATGCGAGGCTGCATGTGGGGACAGCAAGAGGGGTCTGCAACACAACAGAGGAGCCTATACACCTGTGATTCCGTTCTGAAGTAGTTGTGCCATGGTCGCACCAAGGATCCTTAGTTCTAGCGCCCAAGGATCCCTAATCCTAACACCAAGGATCCCCAGTGCTGGAGCCAGGACAGGCTGTGGAGCTGGAGATGCTCCAGATTCAGAGTGGTTTTCCGTGCTCTCTCCCACCTGCCGGAGCACCAGCTTCCCAGGATCAGTGGGAGTGGAGATGGCCTGTGGGATGGAGGTGGTGTTTGGACCACTGGAGCGGAGATGGTGTTTGGTGGAGCATGAAGAGCATGTGGTTTGGAAGGGCTGGGACTGGTTCTCCCGCCTGGAAGCAAGCAGAAGCCAAGAGAGGTAATGTGATGTCTGACTTGCTTGACCACACAGCGACGTTTTCTGCCACCCGAGCGAACCCTCCTGCTGCCCATGGCATGGTGGCCCCAAGGGTGACGTTCCTCTGCCATTCCTCTGCAGCACAAAAGCCCACAAAACCACCAGCTGCCTCCCTGAGCTCTGCTGCAACCGTGGCATCCATGTCCCTCTCTCGCATGAGTCATCTTCTCTCTTACGGTCCTCGTGGACCTTGCGAAGCCCAAGTGGGCTCTCCTGCCTCAGCTGCCTTGGCTTCCCTTGCACCCTCCTGGCAGGTCAGGGAAGAAAAAGGCGCTGGTTCAACAGATGAGCCATAAAGCCAAGAAAAACAGGGAGAAAAATGAATGGAAGAGGAGCAAGATGAAAATCTAGGGGCTTTTGGGGAGAAGCAAGATGTGGTTGGGCATCGGAGAAGGAGCCTCCCGGGTGCTGCAGACACACATTTAACTCTGCAGGGACACAACCCGAAATAGCCTCCATGGGGGTAATGTCTCTGTGGCGGCTCTATTCCGGGATGGAGCCGTTCTTGGTCTGGCGCACGGGGCAGCAGCTGAGGAACAGCCCCGGCTGGTGAGCGTGGCCCTGCTCTGCTTTCCTGCCTGGAGAGGACCTCAGTCACACCACGAGCATCTCCCCTGCCCGTCTCCAGCCAACGTTCCTCAGGGAGGGCAGGGGAGAGGGACCCGCCTGCCAGTTTTCCGCCTGATTTCATTTTCTTAGAATTTCCTCTGTTGGTTCCATTTCTTTTTTTTTTTTTTCTGAAATTCCACTTTTTTTTACTTTTTTTTTGTGGGGGGGACAGCTGGAAAAAATAATATGTTTTGGTTACCCTGGAAACACGCTCCTAAACTTTTGGTGGGTCCAAAGCATGCCAGGAGTTCCAGGACAGCCAGTCGCAGTGGCGGAGGTTTTGTCCTCGCTTCCCAAAAAACGGCAGGAGCTGCTCTCCGTCGGGTCCTCCGGGCACACGTGGCCCCAACCTATCCTCCGTACCGACCCCTGTTTACTCGGCAAAATACGCCGTTGCTTACAAATCGCTGGGGCATGCCGCGGGATCGCGAGGGCTGGGCTCCGCTGGCGTAGTGTTACTTCACGCTGGATCCTATGCAAGCGGAAAAAAAAATAAAAGGATCGCGCTTTAAGGCTGTAAAAATGCGGGTGGGAATATTTTCCAGCCTGTGTCATTAGCCGTCGAGGCCAAAATTCACATTCTGCCTCTCGCTGTTTGTGTTTTTCTCCCTGAAACTCGGGGGGTTTTGTGTTTCTTTTCTTTCTTTTATTTATTTTTTTTTTAATTTCAGGCTCTGGAGTGCCTTTCTCGCTACCCCTTCCCCGCAGCATCCAGCCTTCGGCGGTGGGGCTCCCCCGGGGAGGGGGTACATGGGGATGGGGGTCACCCCAGCACCCGCCGTGGGCACCGAGCATCTCCAGCATCCCCGTCTTCGCTTCGGCGTAGTGCAAAAACGCCGGGGAGAAAAGCACCCCGGGGGGGAAGCTGAGCGTGATGTTTGGCTTCCAAGTGTCAGCTTGAGATGAAACACGCTCCAACTTTCTCCACCGAAGAATTAGGAAAATCAAGGGAAGTGATTTCCCACCAGCCCCCCCCCCCTTCTCTCCCTCCCCACTGTGAAAAAAATTTCAAGGATACCTCGTACACGGAAAATTTCAAGCATCAGGAGTGAAAACTTCCCTTTGGCCCGAAGCCAGTCATTTTCCCCAAATTTAAGGATTTCTGTGATTTCCCCAAGTGTGAGGACAGTGAGAAATGGGCACCTTCTCTCCATTTAACCAACGCAAATTCTTACATGCTTGGTTTTTTGGAAGAGTTTTAGCTCAGAAGTGGAGAGGGAAGGAAAATTACGACAAAACGTTTCCCCCTGCAGCGGGCAGGAAGGCCAAATGTCCAATTTTTCCTGGAAGGAAGAAGCCAGGTTTTTTAAGTTAAAAAAAAAAAAAAAAAAAAAGAAAGAAAAAAAAAAGGGGAAAAAAAAAAAGAAACGAAGTCACTTCTGTATGGGAAAATGTTTCACTTGAAATTTCCTGAGCAGTGTTACTGTGCACTGACTCAGTGCTGGTGTTAAGACCTGGGGAATGAAGTTCAGCGGTTTTTAAAAGCTTTCCCGGCCCCAAGTGGTGGCTCTGACCGACGATGGCTGTCCCCTGCAGCTGGGTGTCATGTCCTGCCGTCCCGCCGAAGAAGGGCCGCCAGCCTCACCCCCCTTCCCAGCCCCTTTGCTTCCAAACGAGCTTCTAACCACCACGATTTGCCTCCAGCCACTTAATTAATCCCTGGCTCCCTTCGCATATTTGGCCCCAGAGCTTCGCAGCGCCCTGCGGTGGGATGTAGCCCTGAGGATTTGCCCTTCGCTCCATGCCGGCTTCAGCCCGGTGTGCTCATACCCATCCCACCGGGATGGTGTGCCGGTACCTGCCACGAACCTCTAAAACTTTCCTGCTGCAGCAAAACCCAACGAGTAACCAACAAAAAAAAACTAACCCCAAAAAAAATCCCCACATCAGCTCAAACAGGATGTTCGGTTCCTTTTCTTTCCAATTTTTGCTTGAATATTTTCAGTGGCATGTTCAAAAACGAAAAGCTTCGGGAAACGACGCCTGCCCCGGTGGGAAATCAGGCTGCCAAAATGTCAGGGTGATTTTATATATTGCTCTAGATAAATGCAGAAATAAATAGGCAGCTTGGGCCAGGGGCAACTCACAGGCTGGCGGGGGTGCCGTGAATAACGTTTTGCTAAAAAAAAAAAAAAGTGTATTTGGCTCAGAAACGTTTCTTGCACCTCTCCCCTTCACTCGCACTGGACCTCTGATGCCAGGCGATGTGCAGGACATCAGGGATGCTGATTGCTGCCCTGGGTACCAAAACTCACCTGCAGCTGTCAGGGAGCATAGAAACACATAAATCATTTACATACACGAGTAGTGCAATGGGTGTCCCGCATCCTGCGAGCTCCTGCCCTGACGAGCCGGCAGGGTCTGCCTGGGTGCTGGGGGACCCCCGTCCCCGCGGGCA